AAAGACTGGATTGTCAGTAAGGAAAGAGAGTCATACAAAAACTCAAGAAACTATAGCTTGGCTTAAAATGACAACTTTCCCTTCATAATTTAATTCAATTAGTAACAAGTTCAGAAGTGGCATTTTGTAGCTCATAATACCGTTTTGTTAAAGCCACACAACCATGTTTTCAGTGGAAGTTTTATTGTTGAGGCAAGCACCTGAATTTCTATCATGTTATAAAAGAGTTCCTTTGAATTTGTACTTACTGCAGCAGCAAAGTAATGTGTCACTCAAATAGAACAGATTTTTGAAAATTGTTTATTCTGCATCTGTCTGCATCCATCAAGAAATAAACTATACACATTGTTTGAACAGTGGAATTTAAAGTGCTATTGACTAGGAGCAAAGCTGTTACCTACATAACTAGCAGTAAAAATGAACAGCATGAGAGAGGTTACACTTCCAAGACTGGAAGGTGATAGGGAACATCCTGAATTATAACAACATAGATATCCAGAAGAGGGACCTGAAGAGACAAGAATCAGATCATTCAGGAGGAAGTACCTACTGATGGCAGATGATGTTCATGGGGAGGTCTGTAGGTTTCCCCCAATGTTTTATACAATGAAATAGTCATTTATACAGTAAGAATTGATTTTGTGCTCTAGCAATGACCATTATTAAATTATATAAAAAACTTCAATTGCTATTAGATTTTCATGAGTAAAAAACTCCTAAAATATACAAATACACATTTGTCTAATGTAAATAAGACATGTTTTTAAAACGGTACTTGGGTTCATGTAATAGGTTTTACACTTAATGGAGACTCAAGTTCATTCAAGCCTATGCTGGGTCACATCAAGTATTACATGGGTTTAAACTATTCCAAGATGGCTGCTTAAGTTCCAGGCATTATATGTATGTTCTAAGCATCAGGGTCTATAATCCTAGCACTTGGCAAGTGGAGGCAAGTCTGGGATACATGCTAAGGCCTTGTCTCAAAAGAAAAAAAAAACCTTTCTCAAGTCCCATCAATATGTTCACTAACTACAAAAGAACTCATAGACTTTTAGCTGGAAAACCTGCCCAGCTAAAAATTAGGGCTGTATTAACCAGGGGAGTTGAATAGTATGGGTTTTGGTAAATAATGAGCTATGTCCACTAGACTCTGGGAGGGATATTGCCTGCCATAGCCTCCCTATAAGTTACTATATTTATTTCTTGTAAAAGGCAAAATTTCACAGGTAAGGAAGACCAGAGAGTACATTAGGTAACTGTACTCACACACGACTCTAATGAGAATGGAGGCTGGCAAACAGCATAAAGGACAGAAGAATCAAACCTTCTAAGCCTTTGAATGTGCCCATTCGGGATGAGCTTCAACCTTTTCTTATATTTTTATCCCATTCGGAGAATTTTGGTTCTATACGTATAGGAAGAGGCCATCTCATGTGTTCATTATATTTATTTTAAAGAATTAAAGAAGTTTTAAAAGACTTGGTCACACTTTTGTTTGCATCTCATGGTTTTCCTTTTAAAGAACACCGACTAAAGCCAAAACAGGCTCTGGAGTCTCACAACTACGGCGTTCAAATTTGTGTTGGCTTCTCCCTTCTCATGAACCCTAAAGGGAATGGGAAGGGGCATGATCTTGATAAAAATATGAACCCTCTGGAGCATTCCTGAAATGTTCAGTGAGCAAATATGGTTAAATGCCTAATTGAGGCCCATCTCTACAAATGCCTGGGGTAAGGCTGGCTGGTTGGCTTTTCAAAGTGCTTCTCTTTCTGTACTAGCAATGTTGTTTTGTGATGTGTCTGGATGACAGGCTGGTTTCTTTACATGAATTAAATCTATGTATTGAGTGTTTCTAGCATTTTTGCTTTATTTATAACCAGCTTACAGTGTAAACAACCAACAACCCTAACCCTGGCACACTGCCTTGGCATAGTCAGCAGCAGGGACATTATATGCCACTCCTCGTCTTCCCCAAAGTTCACTGGCTTCCAGGTACCTCCTCATTTTCACTTTCATACCTTCACTTGCTATAAGAAATGTCTGCAGGAGCAGGACAAAGCTGTTGCTTAAAGTGGGAACCTTTAAGAATCTTCATTGTGCTTGCTGCAGAGACGGTCTTCAGAGTGAGCATGCATTCTCCTGCAGTAAGGACAGTGTGGGACAGCTGCAGGTGGAACATCACTTGGCCTCACTGTATAGTGTCACCATCATCTTGTGTCTAATTGTAAAGACAACTAAATCCGTCATTTTCTCACATGCCTCTACCCCACACCCTGCCCCTCCCTCACATCCTCCCCTCCCACTCCCCCACACCCTACCGGTCCTTCCCCCATACCCTATCTCTCCTTTGCCCATTGCATAGATGACCCTGAAGAGGCTGGTAGGTTCAGAGAAAGGATACATCGTACTTTACCCAGAAGAAACTTAAAGCAAACCATATTTTCTGCAGAATGAAATGACCCTGTCTCACACAGAACATCCTTGTCTTTGGGAGCACTTCTCTCCCTGTTCTGTTTTTTCCATCTTTAACCTCCTCCCACTTCCCTTTGCAAGCATAGAGACTGGAGAGAACTTAGGCGCCTGCCCAGGAGGCATATGAATAGTGCATTAAAACAGGGACGGGACGGAAACTAACGGAGAGAAGCTCCGTCGACTTCAGGTTGGATGGATAATGGAAAGAGCTGTACCCTGGAGCCAGCGAGAACAGGAATTGAACTCCCTGTTCGGTCATTTAGAAATTGTCTTGGGCAACTTGCTTGTCTTTTCTGAGTGGCGGTTTGTCTATAAAATTGAGTAATAACATCTGCCTCATTACTGTCTCAGAGTTAACTGAATTATATAGAAGAAAATGAGAGCACTGTTGGGCCCACAGTTGTCCTTCACTAAATATTAATCTCCTACCTCATGAGAAGGGAGGTGGAGGAGTTGTTGGTTAAGGTCACAGAGTTTCTCAGTATTACACTGAGGACTGGCTCTGTGACACATGGAGACGCAGTTTTAGGCATGGGACTCTATTTTATTATATTGAGTTTTCTAATCTCTTTCACTACTTTCAGTATCTGTAACTTCCTGGTTTCAGGGAGAAAGGATAACTAGGTCAGAATAGTACTGGCTCTGAATATCTTTTACTCAGTGCTGATAAATGTGCCCCGTGTGTTCCCGAGCCCCTTTGCCCTGTGCCCCGTGTGTTCCCTAGCCCCTTTACCCTGTGCCCCGTGTGTTCCTGAGCCCCTTCACCCTGTGCCCTGGGTGTTCCCTAGCCCCTTTACCCTGTGCCCCGTGTGTTCCCGAGCCCCTTTACCCTGTGCCCCGGGTGTTCCCGAGCCCCTTTACCCTGTGCCCCGGGTGTTCCCGAGCCCCTTTACCCTGTGCCCCGTGTGTTCCCTAGCCCCTTTACCCTGTGCCCCATGTTTTCCTGAGCCTACTGTCTTTTCGAATGGGACTGAGAAAGTGATGCATTTCTCTGAGCTTCATTTTCTGTGCAGGCCACTCTGTTTGTGCCAACACATTCTTTGGTTGCCACGTGTTAGCATCACTGCCTTAGGAGCTGTCAGGATGAAGAATCACTTCCTTCTCCATGCCAGACCTGAGTTGATCTCTAAACTACAAAGGTTTGGGCTTTTCTTGGCACCAAAAATGCAGGAACTGGGCTCAGATCTCACAGTTCTTTTTGTCCCTTATAAACCTTACACCTGAGGTTTTCATATTACCAGTCTAGGCTCATGTTTGCTGATGTGTGCTGAACCTCAGATCTGGTGCAGTCCCTGCAACCTAAACGGATGCTTTCGGACTCCAACCCTGACCTAGTGACCCAGAACATTTACAAGGACCCAAGATTTCTGATAGAATTAGCTTGTTAACCCACAATCACATTTACTCAGGATTTCTCCCAAGATAAAAACATCTTATGTTTCTGCCCATAATGAGATCTCATTGTCCTATTAGCCTTTTCTTCTAGTTTGTTTGAGAAAAACAGCTACCCTACCCTACTCTTTCTTTCTTTCTTTACCAAAACTGGTTGGCAAACATACATGTATAAAACAACATAAATATGATGAGAAAGCATCAAGCAACGCCTGAGCGTTGCAGTCCCAAGGAAGATGCACAGATCTCTCATCCGGGCTCTTCAATGCGTGAATATTCAAGCAGTCTCTCACACTAATACGTTTCCTAATTTGTCGCCTCAAATACTTGACACATTTTTTCAACAAAATTTGTTTCATCTTTAAATAATGTTAAATTTTTTTAACCATCCCATGGAGCCTGATGTTTTCAAAATTATCAAAGGAGTCTATGTCACTGAAGGGTTAAGAATCTCTGAAGGAGGGGCTTGTGGGATCACCAAGGTTTTCTACAGGGTCTATCGATCCCTTTAGTTTTGTTTTTGGATTTTCCCTTTTGTGAATAGAAGCTTCGTTTTTCTCTTCTGTGAACAGTGCTCTTCCTGGAGTCAGACTGTTACTTTGTGTCATCTGTGTGTATGTGATGTCATCCTCAGCCTTCTTTGTGACTAATTCTGCTCTAGTAATTTCAGTGCACTGCAATTTGTAAACAAACTATTCACATTTGTGTTCATATTTCTTGACTATCTCGAATGTACTGGTGGTTACTAAACTAGCCAAACAGAGCACATGGCCAATTAAAAAAATGCTGTCTTTTATCAGTTTCTGATCTAAGGGATGTGTGTGAGTGTGTGTGTGTGTGTGTGTGTGTGTGTGTCTGTCTGTCTGTCTGTCTGTCTGTCTCTGTGTATAGTAACTTCTTGATTTATATCTCCTGCTCCTTACAGATCTTGGAGATAGATATCGAAGGCTTCATGGGGACTTTCCCACATTCCAGACTCCTGCCCTCCAACGAAGCTCTGAGTCACTGATCAACTGGCAACATGTGGAAGCCCAGGACAAGTTAGCGTCACTAACCTTCAGTCTTAGCAGCAGCTGAGAACCGGTGTGGCCTGAAACTCAAGCAAGCACTAGAGAAAGCTTCCTCCTCTGTTCATGGAAAGAGGAAATGAAAGGATTTCCAGCCAATCACAAGGAACTATCCACTGTTCCAAAGAGCCCACCTTCCTTATCCAGCAGGCTATCCTGCCGAGTGACTCCCATTCTACCCTTCTGCAGGAAACACAGTGTGGCGGTCTAACCAAAAACATAAAGGCCAACACTCAGAAAAGGAGACCAGGAACAGCGATTCTATCAAAAGGCTCCAGTCGAATTATGTCAGAAAGCCTGCCTAGACCCCCTGTGATCCCATCCCGCAGGCCAGGGTTCCGGATATGCTACATTTGTGGACGAGAATTTGGGTCCCAGTCACTTGCTATTCATGAGCCCCAGTGCTTGGAGAAGTGGCGCATTGAGAACAGCAAACTACCCAAGCACCTGAGGAGGCCAGAACCCTCCAAACCACAGCCCATCGGTGGCAGCGACTCATACAACCTTCAGGCAGCCAACGAGGAGGCATTTCAGAGTGCGCAGGCTCAGCTGCTCCCCTGTGAAAACTGCGGCCGCACATTTTTGCCAGATCGTCTCCTGGTTCACCAGAGAAGTTGCAAGCCAAAGGGTGAGAATCCTGGCACACCAAACATGGATAGTCCTAATGTTCCTACTGGTCTCAAGAAAGCTTCTAGTGGCATCCCAGCCCGACCAAGGACTCTCATCTGTTACATTTGTGGTAGGGAATTTGGCACACTGTCCCTTCCTATCCACGAGCCCAAATGCTTGGAGAAGTGGAAAATTGAGAATGATCGGCTTCCTAGAGAGCTGCGTCGGCCACTGCCCCAGAAGCCTCAACCCCTTCCAACTGGACAGCCCAGACAAGAGGGGGTGAGTCAAGCCACGCTTGTGCCTTGCCCAAATTGTGGCCGGACCTTTGCTGTAGACCGCCTACCTGTACACCAGAGAAGTTGTAAATCTCAACCTAGTGGACCAAAAACTCAAAATTCGAACCTAGAAAGGAAAGGTGGTCCAAATGCACTCACTAATTCCAAGCAACAGAGGAACATGGAAGCACCCAATGGGGACAAGGTAACTGTTGTCATATAAGATGAAGGAGGTGGACTGGGGACACACTGCATCTTCAAAAGGATGAGAAAACTATTCCTAGAGCGAGCAACCTCAGCCCCAACGATGGTTTCTCCCAAAGCCTTACTTGTGTCTCAAAGCAGCCTGTCCAAGTGGATCTCCTTTTGGACTCCAGGGGCTGTGTTGTGTGTGTATCTCTTTTTGCAAAGTAGACCTAACAGAATCCTTGTCTGGTTGGTTAATAATCCTCTTCAGTCCTACAGCCTAATAGAGATGGACTTTTTTTTCTCTGATCCCTCATCCCAGTAATCCCTGGGAGAGACTGTTACTTAAAATGAGTCATTATGCTGTGTCTACATTACAGAGATATGATTCCCATTCCAACAGCCAATGTTTATTGCTGGTTTATTTTAGTCATCTACCTTAGGAATTCGGTTTTGGCAATACTGGGTTATGCTGAGTTTATCTTACTAAAATAGAATCTGTGTCAAAAACCCCAAATGACTTTAGCAATAATTAAACACTGGAGCACTTGCTGAGTCTGTGTGCTCTACAGGGAGCAGTGTGATTTTGTTGAAGGCATACGTGATTATTAGTGTGTGGGGGGCTGTTAACCCCTTCATGGATGCCGAAGCAACTAGATAAGTCTGCATGATTCTGGGAAGTTCTCAGTCTGTTGTTGTTCTGTACCCATTATGGAGACTGTCCACAGGATGCTGTCCCCCAACCTCGGTCATTCTAAACAGTGAACCCAGGTATCGTTAGACTATAAAGCTATTAGCCTTTTACCATTAGCATGATTGGATGAGGATGCTTATGAAGGTGGCCAGTTGATCAGCAGGACATGATACATGTCCTGCCATAAAATCAGGACACTGCCCTGTCACATCTTATATGTCAACTGTAAGAAACAGGAGGTGGTCTTTCCTCGTGGCTGTTTGGATTCCAAGCATGCTCAAAACCCCTAATCTTGGCCTCCAGACAATAGTCTTTAGCTAGATACTGTTTCTAATTTGAGTAGTTTAAGGAAACACACGTAATTCGAACCATTATTAAACTGGAGTGATAAGGACACATCTTTGATTATGATCTAATTTCTCTTGCCTTTATTTTTTTATTACTCTGAGAACTGTCTAGTCCTTGTTCCTAATTTCCATGACTAAAAATTATGGACTTACTAGTTTTGAAGATTCCATGGCAGTCATCTGAGAGCAGAGAAGTCAGACCAACGTGCTGAACAATTTTTCCAGTGAATATTGAAGACCAAAAAAAAATCAAAATGGCTAGATTCTTTGCCCTATGGAAATCCAGTGCTTACGTGTGACATGGGCTCTCAGCTGGTCTCATAAACCCAATCTGGTTTTCCCATCTTCTGCCTGTTGCTTTTCTTCCAAGATATATGGGGTCTGGAAACAGAGAATAAAAGGATCTGTGTCTTAGGGCCACCAATTAGCACCTGTCCCAGTAGTCTAACTCACAGCCTGGTTTCTTGGTTTCGTGCATTTACTTTAAACATTCCCATTACAGATCTAGCGCTAGGGAGGAGTATGGGCAGGACTCTTGTGCTTATTGTTGTCACACATACTTTATGCTCCAAGACTGGAGCCAACCTGCTAAGCACAGCATGTTCTCTCAGTCACAACTGCTGAAAGAGACCGACTGACTGGGCCTGTGGTGTCACAAAAAAGCCACCTCCCTTCCTCACCCACCCAGTTGTTTGGAGGAGTTGGTGTCAGCAGTGGTGGTATCTCCATGATGCCTGAATGTCTGTGAGAGTTCAGGGAGGCCCCTAGACGACTGGATGTCGCCAGTGTGTACCCAAACCCTCAAATGGCATTCAGTGCCATGTATCAGTTGGAAAGTGGCACCCGCCATTGTTACCTGTGTCCTGACAGATTGAGAACCATACAGGTCCCAGTGAAAACATGGACAGGTCATCTAAGCAAAAGATCATAGCCACATTTAAATCAAGCTTGGCTTAATTAAAATGGAGCAAGTTTTAGACTTCCCTAAAGCATAAGATATTTTGGAAGTGATGGACATTATCCATATACTCAGAGTGCTTTTAGTGATGGACGTTATCCATACCCCTAGACATTGCTTTTAAGGTGCATTCAGAAGAATGCTGTTTCTGGCTAGTTTATTTTGCTTTCTGGATCCCGTCTGTTGAAATTTTAGCTTCCTCACACCACTTACCACTTTATGCAGTGAGTCATTTGTTTTTCATAAAGAGCGCTGACCTATCCATCCTTACATTCTGGAGTCGAATCTGTCTGTGACAGCTGACTCTTGGCTGACTGAAGTGCATCGCTTCTTACAATTTGGATGCCTGCTTCATCTCTTTCCCTCGTCAATTAGAGCAGTTTTACTTTGGAATTCTTGATCTGGTCTTGGATTAGCATCAGCTGTCTTGCCTGATAGTCTCAGAATTCCAGAGAGGAAAAAAAAATATGTTCACAATAACAGCCATAGTATTGGGGAAACAATTTGCTCTCACTGGGTGACAGTTAGGTTTTGATAGCCAACTACAGTGCTCCTAAGGATGTCCCTCTACTGTTGAAAGTTCTCTTATGATGCAGTCCGTCAAAGGGAACAAAAATAAAGGCCCATGAGATCTAAGTGGGCACCTCTCTTTATCCTTATATGAACTCAAACTCTCCCGCTATATAATCTGAAATACAGAGCCAAATCTGTCCTTTGTGATCTCATAGAAAAGTTGTGAAGTGCTCTAGCAGTGTTTAAGGAGAATAAAAACCTTAGTGTGGAATTATGTAAAAGTCTGCTGTTCTGGGGAGATCATTGTCCGGCCCTATGTCTTAATGACCAGCATTGTGGCAGTTCCTTCCTCTGAAAGAAGAAAAGCTTGGGTGAGCTACACCTAGCTAAAAACTTCATATGAAGTTTTGATGCACAGTGTGGAAAAATACAGATTATTGTTTTGATTTTTACTATTGTTTTTGCTTCATTGAACATTCAATTTGTAAGTATTTTTCATGGTATCTGCTGAAGAATATGATAGAGACCATTATTATTCTTTATTTTAAAATAGAAGGAATAAATGTTAACAAGTTGGCTCTTTTTTGCGAAGCTGATTGTTACAGTCTTTAGCTTGAGACCTCTTCCAGTTACTTGACGCACAAGATGATAGTTTAACACATAATTATAAGCTCAAATTCAGTCTTTACCCAGTAAACTTCTCTAAGTAAGCCTAGGAATTTATGTCTTAGGATTTTGTTGGTGACACGTGAAATGTTCCTAAAAGTCCTGCCTTACACTGCAAAGCCAAAATTATTTTTTATTAAAGAACAGTATCTTTTCTACCGAAGATATTCTTTGAACTTGAGTCTGAGTACTTTTGGTACCAGGGCTCAGGTTACAGCTGAACACATCACTAGCATCTGGTGCTGCCATCTGCTGTTTCCTTTTAATGCCTTCTACATTGTCAAATATGTGACTGGCTTTCTCCAAAAAAAAAAGAAAAAAGAAAAAAGAAAAGATTTATTTTTTATTCTTTTAAATTATGTGTATGTGGATGGGTGTGTGTCCATGTGCAGGCACATGTACCTGATTGAAGGTGCCCTAGGAAGCCAAATGTATTCAAAGCCCCTGTAGCTGATGTTCCTGGTGGCTGCAAGCTGTCTGATTCGGGTGCAGAGGACTGAATTTGGGGCCTTGACTCCTGTCAGCTTCTGAGCAACTTATGCAGTCCCTACTCCTCTTTTAGTTTATGTATGTGAATGTTATTCACACATGCGTGTGCAGTGCATGCATGCCTGGTTCCCTCAGGAGTCAAAAGAGAGTATCAAATGAATGGGAGCTGGAGTTATGGATGGTTGTGAGCCACCAGGCAGATGCTAGAAATTGAACCACAGTCTTCTGCAAGAACAACGAATGCTCTGAGCCATCTCTCCAGCTCCTCCAGCCCCAACCCTTCGTAACTTCCACAATCTAAGAAGGTTCATTTATAATACTACTATGAACTCCAGTTATTTGGGACTACAGTTATATTAGTTTTGAAGTTAGAGGTGCAGTTTCTGGTGGGAGTGGGGAGAACCTCATTCCTTGAAGGCAGAATATCTAATGGGACTGTCACAACAAGAAAGGTGCAGCAGATATGACCCCATTTTGGTCACTTTCATCCATTTGTGCATGGATTTCTGTTAAACAGAAAGAGCATGAAGTTTAGGGACAGAAGTAAAACTATGAACTTCTTTATTGAGTATCTTTATGTATTCATCCATTCTCCTATGAAAATGCCTGAGATAGAGTAATTTATGAAGAATAGAGGTTTGATTCTCACATTCTGGAGACAAGGCAGTACAAGATCAAAGTGCTAGCCGCCCTGCTGTCTGGGATGGATGTTCTCCATGCAAGATGGAGCTGTCTGCTGTTCTGGAGTGAGTAAAGCTTGTGTTCACAACAGGGAAACAATGGAAGGGCAAGGAGGCGTTACCATCAAACTCGAACCCTTTGATGAAGGTGTTAACTTTATTCACAAAGGTCACCACCCAATCCTCAGCTACCCACATCATGTCTTCACTGAGGACTAAAGTTCCTCATGACTTTAGAAGGAACACCATCACTCAGTACTGTTGTTTCCCGATCAGCACTTTGTACGCATAATATGCTCTAAATTTTCTCTGATTTTCTGGTGGGAAGTTTGAGGTTAAGAGGCCTAGAGTTAGGTAGCAGGTTCTAAAGTAGGTGCTAGGGACAGTTAAAAATAGAAATGAGCGCACCAAGGGTATGAGGCATGGTAGAACTCAGCGGTAGCATGCCTGTGTTTTTAATTCCCAGGATGGAAAGGTGGGATCATTGTTACCCTGGGAAGTCTAAGCACTAGGTAATAAAAAGAGGAAACAAGTTAACTGACTTACAAGTATTCATCGTTAGGCGTTGGCCTTAACACTAAGTATACAATCATAAGCAAGCAAACAAAAACAACAACAAAACCTATAGACCCAGCTTTTAGTCTTTGGAGGAAATGATGGGAAAAGTCAAAAAATAATCAGGTAGTATCA